CCCACATGGGAGACCAGGAGAAGTACCTGGCTCCTGCCATTGGATCCGCCCACAGCACGCTGGCCGCGGCGGCCATTGGAGGGTGAACCAACCGCAAAAGGAAGACCTTTCTCTCTGTCTCTCTCTCTCACTGTCCACTCTGCCTGTCAAAAAAAAGGTGGGCCAGAGTAATATGTGGGGAAGCACTGAAGACTATGGCCAAATATACCAAAAAGCTAATGAAAGAGCCTAGGCCAGGAAGATAACACATGCAAAATGAAAATTTCTTTCAACTCCTCTGCATCCTTAAAAATTCCCCATAATATGTTTGGGAAAAAAAAACACTCCTATCCGTGACCCAGTGATCAATCTTCATATAACCAATAATGTGCTATCATGCGATACAAGCAAAGTGTATTGCATCATCTATACAGTAACTTTGCCAAAATGTCTAAAGTGAAGCTAATCGTGGGCAGACAAATCCAGACAACGCATAGTTTACAAAACAAATGGCCTTGTCTCTTCAAAATTGTCAATGTCATGAAAGCCAAAATTACCTGGAGGAGAGGGAACTTGGTAGATTAAAGAAGACTAAACAGACATGACAACCAAATGCAATCCTTGGTTGAACTCAGAATTTTAAAACATTTTAGAGATCATCTGGAAGATCTGAATTCAGAGTGTATCTTAGACATTATTATTCTATCAATCTTAAATTTCTTGAAAATTAATTGGGTTGCTAGCCTGCAGAATCTCTGATAATAGGAGACATTTGGTTATGTATTTAGCAATGGAGAGTGATAATATCTTCAACTTTCAAACAGGGCAGCCACATTTATCTGCAACTACCCAAATGTATGTGCATGTTGCTATATGAATGTGTATATATATATATATATATATATGCATGCATACAAAGAGAAAGGGAGGTGAAGCAAATATGGTAAAGTAGTTGGGGAGAGTAGTTAAATGTCACCTGGGTGTTAACTGTGTTAATCCTTCTACTATAACGTTATAGGCAGGAAATAGCTGTGGCCCAGATGAGGGTAGATAGATAAGAAATGAGTGGATAAGTGGGGTATTTAGATATTAAACAAAGTCGATAAGATTTGAGAACTGATTGCACATTACAGGTCTAATGTACTAAGGTGAAATTTGACTCCCCAGTTTTGGTGTGGGCAATTAGATAGCAGATAAGCCACTCACTGAGCCAGGAACACGGGAAGACACCGGCTGGGTTAGGGCTGCCTCTGAGAAACATAAATGGAGATGACAAAAAGGCAATTGGACATACAGACCAGGATCTCAGTAATGGCCTGGATAAGAGCTATAAATCCAGGTATGTATATGACACATCCATTGATAAAGATTTTATTCTGGAAGATACTTAGTCTGAATTCTGCTGAGCACAGGTACCACTCAAATGAAATATTTCTAGGGGTGAGTGTTTGGCACAGCAGTGAAGATGCCACCTGGGATGCCTGCATCCCATATCAGAGTGCCTAGGTTCAGGTCACCACCCTGCTTCCAATCTAGTCTCCTGCTAATGTGCACCCTAGGAAGCAGAAGATGATGGCTCAAGGGCTTAGACCCCTGCCATCCACTTGGGAGATCCAGATGGAGTTCCTGGCTCTTGACCGGCAAGGCCTAGCCCTGGTGATTTCAAGCATTTGGGGAGTGAACCAGGAGATGGAAGATATTTCTCTCTCTCTCTCTCTCTCTCTCTCTCTCTCTCATCATTCTGCCTCTTAAATAAATAAATAAAAAGAATGCATCATCCAGTGTTACTATTTCAAAACATAATATTGTACATATTAATATTTTATCATATATAATATTCAACACATCATAGAGCGTTATTTTATTGTATATAATATTCATAATATGTAACAGTGTTTTTCTGATCAACTCAGGAAAAGGGTATATTCTAAATAATAAACAGATCCAAATTGTAAGTGCTAAAGTAGTTGGGGCAGATGAAAACTATGGTATCTCACTAGAGCTTTAAGAACCATTTCCTCTCTGGTAGGGAAGAATATGTGGATTGGATCATCAATCTGCCAGATTTTATGAGAGTATAAAAAACATTTTTATATGGTTTTACTGCTGTTAAGAATTTATGGATTACTATGTGATTAAGTTCCTTTCTTCAGGTACAAAACTGTAAAAGATTTGCTAAACTCTTAAGTGGTATTTTATTATATTCAAGAACTAAAAACTTTGTTCAGAAGAATGGATATAAAATTTGATTATGGAAAATCAGATTTGCCTAGGAAAAATTCTCTTTCCTGGAAAGACCTATTCTCTTTGAGATACTGCTAACTCCCTCCTACACAAATAGTCTTAGTCAAGAGTCTCCACTTCAGTGCTTTCCAAAGACTCTGTCCACTGCATAGGAGAAAAAGTAAACCATTTATGCAGGACTTCATTTCTCTTGCAGCAGACTAGTAGTACGTCTTCATTATAGTGTTTTACTTCTCCACTCTCCTCATTTTTCAATTTTTCTCTTCTTGCTAATGAAACTCCCTGCCATACTGCAAACAGAGCAGAAAAGGTGGTAAGAGCAAGAAAAGAATGGGGAAGGAAGGAGAGAAACAGAAAAACAGATGCTACTCAAACAGGGATAGCCACTGGCTGTCACCTGACGCCTCTAAGGGCCACGGGACTCAGTTTGAGTGGCATAAGGCAGAGGATCCTCCTTCTAAGTCACAGAACAGTGTGTCAGAAGACTCAAAGTTGCACCTCAAACACTGTGCCCCAGCATCACTCTCCACTTCCACATGCACGCATGGAAGGAATACCACCTTCCACACAAACCTAGGTGAGAAACTGAGAGTATGGGGCTGGCGCTGTGGTGCAGCAGGTTACCCTGGCCTGAAACGCCGGCATCCCATATGGGCACCGGTTCGAGTCCCGGCTGCTCCACTTTCAATCCAGCTCTCTGCTACCTGGGAAAGCAGTAGAAGATGGCCCAAGTCCTTGGGCCCCTGCATCCACGTGGGAGACCTGGAAGAAGCTCCTGGCTCCTGGCTTCGGATGGGTGCAGCTCCAGCCATTGCGGCCAACTGGGGAATGAACTATCGGATGGAAGACCTCTCTTCCCCCACCCCCTCTGTCTCTCTGACTCTCCTCTCTCTGTGTAACTCTGACTTTCAAATAAATAAATAAACCTGAAAGAAAGAAAGAAAGAAAGAAAGAAAGAAAGAAAGAAAGAAAGAAAGAAAGAAAGAAAGAAAGAAAGAAAGAAAGAAAGAAAGAAAGAAAGAGAGAGAGAGAGAAATGGAGAGTAAAGGAAGGGCATGTGGTAGAAGCATTAAGCCCTACACTGTTATAATTTAGTGATATCACTGCTCACTTTGCCGTCCCTTCTGTAAAGTTTACCCACTCCTCCTGTAGGACCTCCCTGTCTGTCCTGTGAACCAGAAGGCAAGAGTGTCTGGCAGTACCCCTAAGGAGAAAACCCACAGGGAATGGCCTAATAGGTAAAAGCCATGTTTTCATTTATTTCACTTTGGGGATTATGCAATGTGAGGACATGAAACATTCCACAATGTTCCACTGTGAATGAATATTCGATAGTGGACAACTATGATGGAAATACAGTTTAAGTCCTTGGGGAAAAAAAATTCTCTGACATTAGGAACCCACAGATGCTAGAGTGGAAAGGGACGCCAAGGCGGCCAAACACAGTCAAAGAGACCACAGAGTCCCAAGATCTGCGGTGCACTCTCGGGTGCGCTCCAGGGAAGGGTAATACTGCTGTGATTAAGACTTTTAACAGGGCCAATTAATTTCAGGGAGGCACCCAAAGCAGCGTTAAAGAGCTGTCCCACCGGTCCCAGACACTCCGGTAAGGAAAGGAGGCGGGGATGGCTCCACGTAAGCCCTGACCCTCACCGCCCCGCGCTCGGAAGCCGAAGGACCGACGCGCTTCGCATTCCTCCAGCTGCGTCCCCCGCACCCACCAGTCTCCAGCACCTGGGGCCAGCCCTGCACCCGGAGGCCCGTGCAAGTTTCCGAGGAATGGCTATCCGTGCAGCCGCGGGGCCCGGAGGCCCGGTGCGCCGGCCCTACCCGGGGACCCCCGCCTTCCCGGAGCTCCGTGCGCTCCGGCCGCGGAGACCGGTGCACCGACCGTTCCTAGCCCGGCTGGAGGAAGTGACCCGCGAGGCCCTGGTGACCCAGGTGACCTGAGGCTGGGAGACAGGCGGTCCTGCCCGGACGGAACAGAAACAGGGAGCATGGTGTGAGACCCGGGTCTCTCCAGTTCAGTGCAAAACTAAGCGCGCGGTAGACACGTTTTCTCCTCCCCTTGAAACAACCCTGGGACGAGTCCCCTTCGCCATCTAGGGCTTGAGCGAAAAGTTGCTCAGTCCACAACTAATGTTTTGTCGGCTTCTTAAGTGGCCTTGGGCAACCAGAACCTGGATCCCGGGCCAAAGCAGGGCATGAATTACCTTGTCAGTGGCGGCAAGCGATGCCAAGAGTCCGTGAAACGCGGCGACCGCGCAGGGCCCTCGGCCTTCCCCAGGCGGCTGGCGGGGAGCTGGGGATCGCGCCACACGCTCCGAGGCCCCACCCTGGGGAGCAGCAACCACCCAGAGGGCAAGCACGGCTCCTGCCGGGCGGCCGTCTGGGAAGCGTCCCCTGCAGCTAACCACACGGTCACTCACTCTCCCCACCCTCTCCTTGCGGACTCCGCCGGGGCCCCGCCTTCCCCGGGCCGGTTGTGTGACAGGCTCTCCTAGGAGGCCACGTCCCCTCTCGGAGATCACTGGCCCAGCGCCCCGCACCGAGCGTTGCACAGACGCGCGACCCTCGCGCCCCGGCGGGACGGGAGACGGAGCAACAGCACGGACGGAGCCCCAGGAGGTGGGGTCCGAGGACCTGCCGGCTGGAGCTTCCTCCACAGTTCTGGCGTCTCTCTCCCGCACCGGGGAACTGAACTGAGGTTGTGAGGAAAGTGCCTGCAGCACAAGTTGGTTACATCCTCGGCCCTGACACTTGAGAAGGCGCTCGGGATGCGGAACCGCGGCGGAAGAGCCGCAGGAGGGTCCCACCTCCTCCCCGCCCCTTTCCCAGCGGGCTGTGGTCACTTTACCCAACCTGACGCTTTAATAATGCATGCGCTTACCTGGTGCGCGCGGGCGGCCGCCTCCACCGCGTCCCGAGGCTCCCTGGGGCGTGTTTGGGTCGGAGCCACCGCGGGGGTGTGCGCAAGGATAAGTTTGGGGGGCGCGGTTCTTTTTTTCTTAATGAAACGTGGAGAACCACACCAGATCCGAAACACACACACAAAAAAATTTTAAGACCCAATTGGAAACGCCCCTGGCTTGTGCAATCTTCCTGCCTGGTAGTTCCGCCAAAAACAAAAACAAAACAGTTCAAGCGCAAACCTGGAGCAGGCGCGCAGGCACCAAGTTTGCCAAATGCTCCAGTTTTCCGTGTGCAGAAACGACGCAAAGGAGGGGGGCGCCTATCCCCGAGTTTCCCCAATCGGCTTCGGAAGCCACAGGCCCCTCCTCGCCCCTCGGCGGGAGAAAGCCCGCGGCCCGCCCGGCTGCCTGCTCCCCTCCTCCGAGGAAAGGCGACTCCACAACTTTGTGCTCCAGCGAGGCTCGCAGCTCCCGCGGCTCCTCCTCCGCCGCCGTCTCCCCGCCGCCGGCCTGCCCCTTTGTTGGAGCGCAACGCAAGAGGCAGAGAACGGAGGGTGGGGCGCCGGGCCGAGCGCCCGCGTGCCGCCGCCCCCGGGGAAGGGGCTCGCGTCCCGGCACCCGGGGCTTCGCTCTCCCGAGGAGGAGGCCTGGCGGGTCCGATCCCCAGGCCGGCGCCGCCCCAGCGCTCCGGCTGCCCCTCCCTCCTCCGCCCCGCCGCCGCCGGCCCAGCAACTTTGTTCCCGGGTTCCGCTCGGGACCCTCCTTGGCGGCCACCACGGGCACCGCTGCGGGAACGAGGCGCCGCGGGTCACCTGACCGCGCGCCCGGTCAATGAACGCCGGCCCAGCGCGCCCTCCCCGCCCGCAGCTGCCTGGCCCCGCGCTCCTCTGGCCTGGGGCGGCGCGCCCTTATCCAGCTCCGGGAGCGAACTGTTAGTGCCGGGAGCCAGCACGAGAATGGGTGTCCCGCGCAAACACCATGCCCTTGATTCCGATGATCCAGAAGTGTGAGTCACGCCCCGCGGGCAAACCCGGGCTCTAGTTAGGGTGATTTTTTTAACAGATAAATCCTGCCATCTGCTCCCTCACCACGTCCCTCAACGCACCAAGCAGTTTGCTAATGTTGCTGACTTTTTGGTCCTAGTTGATTTTTTTCGTTACATAATTTTCTTAACATCCTTTTTTTTTTAATATCAAGGCTCCAAATTTGGTTTTATATTCATTCCTTGTACAAATAGTGTTTTCACTGACGTTAGTTTCTGTTTTTCTAATGTACACATATAGACACTTCTGTTCTACAACCTGTTTCCAAGCCTGAGGGGTTGGCCAAAAAGTACGTCAGAAGTATGGCAGTTGTGCTGTGTGTGCATTTCTCAATGGCACTTCATTCCCCCAACGTGTTCCTTGATTCTTGGACAAGTGCATCCTGCTTGGAAAGAGAAAGACAAAACACTTCATATAAACAGAGGTAAGGATGATTGACAAGGGAGCCCTGGCCTGTTCTTGGCTTAATATTGGGCAGCTAATTTATGAGACAGGAAAGATAAACCGCTAGGGGTATCAAATGAACTTTTCAAAAAGGAGTTGGTAGCCTTTCCTTAGTTATAAAGCAAAAGGCTCCCCAGTCTCTAAGAGCTATGGAAGTGGAAAGTCTCCAAACAGCCTTACCATACAAGGCTTCCGGCTTAACTTCCTCCAGGAACTTTCTTCATATAAGTCAAATTAAAAAAAAATTCTTTTGAAATGGGTATGATTTGTTCATTTACTTTTATCCCTTCATTTAACAAACACCTATTTGTTGCCTGCCATGCCTGCTGGTGCCATGGATGATCAGGAAAATTTGCTCCAGATCTTGCCCTAACAGAATTTAGCATGGAGTAGGTGGGAGAAGACATGGAAGCAAGAAGTATATGAAACATCCAGGATAAGTGCCCTAAGAAAGGAACAGATCCAGTACCACCTGCCCATGTAGGGGGAGGTGGAAGTTCTTTCAGCTGATAATTCTGCAGCCACAGAAACAACTCATCTCTCCCTGTCTCCGGGTTGAATTGATGGAAACTTAAGATTGCCTTCTTTAAACTAGATGATAAGGCCATACAGGAGTGGTTAAGGATTTGGTTACTGAAAGTGATGTAAGTGTAAAGCACTTCATAAATTGTGAAATGGGACTCGAATATTCGTTTACTTATTTAGCTGACAATTTTTGAGAAACATGGGTGTTTTGGATCCTATAACGTATGAGTATTTAGCCTCTGAGAGGATGCATAGCCAGGTTTCCCAAAGGGCTATGGCGAGGGGACATGGAGGACACAGGAGTGTCTTGCCCCACACACTTCTCCGATGAGGCAGATGGACCCTCTTTCTAAGTGGTGGCTGAAGAAACCAAAGAAAATTCTGTTGATGGAACAGCAAAGAGGTTCCAAGCTAGTCCTGCTCCTGCTTCCTTTGTCCAGTGCAGAAACCACATTTGATGGCAGATTTTGACCATGAGAGGTATATTTCCATAGAGCAGACAGTGTCATCTTCCCATATGTCCCCAGAGCCTCTGTGGGGACAGGGGAGACAAGCCACCACAAGGAAGGGATAGTTGTCAGTGAACCAGCAGCCAACATCCACCTGCAGCAGGTGTGGGCCAATGATGACTGTGCTCAGTGGACTTTTGTCTGCTCACCACAAATGTTGCTGCAGAGAATTGGGCGGAAGTGACAGGATTTCTCTGAGATGCTATTAATCCAGAGTCTGAATTGCTCTACAGTGACCATAAAGCAGTGAAAATTAAAGAAAATTGAATTGCTGTCACTATGGGAAGTTAAGCCCTTGACATAGGAAAGAAGTATGATATGAGCAACATATACATAGGCTCACATATAAAGATACATGTGTGTATATATAAACACTATAACACATAGGCGTGATTCACATAGATACTGTTTTAGGCACAGTGAAAGTGATCTGTTACAAAAGTCAAGGAGATTCCCTACTAAACGTTGTGTAAGAGTATTTAAAAGTAGTTTCTCATTAAACAGTACAAATGTGGAGAAAGGTACAATGTATAAAAAATCCAGACATTCTTTCAGCTTTTCCCTTGGTGTTGACCATGAATAAAGCTCCATACAGCAGCAGTTAAGAGAGCAGGAAAGATTAGGGAATTTACCTTTTCTCTTTCCATATCAAGAAAGATAAATCTATAGCTTGTATATAATAAAAACTAGAGCATTTACTGAGCATTGCTGCTGAATTCTTCAGTCAAACATCTAATACTTGTTGTGCAGGTTTAAGATGGCTATAAATAAAATTGTTTCTAATAGACTTAAAGAAACAAGCAAATCATAATAATATATGAATCTTTTGAAGAATAAATAACATAAAGACAGATTTTGTCACGATTTAGTGAGTTGAAGAATCACAGGGGAGGGAAGCATGTTTTACATTCAGATTGGCTGCCATCCCCCAGAAATTCTGATTTAGTAGGTCTGCAGTTTTAACAGGCAGCGGGGGAGGCTGAGGCTTAGGTCCACCTGCTTGGGGAGCTACTCTTCAGCTGCTGTGCCCAGGGGGCCTGCCACAAATAGGCCACTTTGGATGATTGGAAAGGTCCAGAAAGTGCCCTACAGGAAAGAACAAAAATCCATGTCAGCTCGATCATAACTTCCAAATGCTCAGAATTCCCTTTATCTCTCTCCTTGAATTCAAGAGTTTTATTCAGATTCAGACAGAAGGCCCTGGGGTTCCACAGAAGCATTAACACTTTAGGAGTCCTTGCACCTATTTAACCTGCAGGGGTGGAAGGAACACACACACACACACACACACACACACACACCCAAGCTGGATCTGAGGAAATGAGGCTCCCAAGAGAAATCTGAGGGCCAGAAGCAAGGAGGAGAGGACTATCAGGGGAGGGGAGGGGGAAGGAGGGGAAAGGCAGAGTCCAAGGAAGGTAAAAGTGAAAGGACCAAGGGAAAGGAGAGCCACAGTTAGGATACGCTGGGCTCCCCAACTCATCCATGTGTTTAAATTCCAAAGGCAAGTAGGGTAGTGGTACTGAGAGGGTGGAAACTTAATGCAGTGACAGTGTTTGGGCAGTGGGCCAAGTGGGAGGGCCATAGGTCACAGGGTAGAGAAGGCAGCTCTCCCCAGAGGGTTTTTACACAAGCCTGAGATAGGTCCCGCCTCTCTGGTTCCTGGCTCCCCATGGGATTTTGCTTCCACATAGCTCTGCCATGGCAGCTCCTCAGACAGGAAGGCTTGCTTAGGTCAGGTCAAGGTTCTGGATGCCCCTCTCAATGGCAAGCCTTGAGCTGTTTGGCTGAAGGATTCCTAAGGGACCTGCTTAATAGTCTGGGTGGCCCATATGGTCCCCCTTTCCAGGTCTCCTCCCCCTGAATGCCACCTCTCCACACTGTGGACAGACGGCCAACCTGACATGAACCTGCCCCGACCACATTAGGATTGCACGGCCATGGCTGTCCTGTATCAACCATTGCTTCCTTCTAGAACATCTCTCTAGAAGGTAGATGCAGAATTCTCCTGTGTTCTTAGTCATCTCATTATGTGGCTTTTCCCATGTGGGACTGAATGCCTAGAAGGCAGGACCAAATTCTTTATGGGCTGCTTCCTAGGAGAACTGGCCAGGTGGGGGGTGGGGGAGGGGGCTCCTCCTCATTAACTATTGAGCCTTTCCAGCTATGTGACCTGAGGAAGAACCCAAGGATCCCACTGCAGTAAAAGAATAAAATATTTGGACAGTTTCATGGTATTGTGCAATGTGTAGTAATAATTATTTTAACAAATTCAATTATTTTTTTGTTTTTACAAAATTGAGAAAAACTGCTTTTTGGTATTATTTGAGTCCATTCTCTGTTGCTGTGACTCAGAATCACAGCCTGAGTAATAAAGGCTTATTCAGCTCAAGGTCCTGAAGGCAGGAAGGGCCAAGGTTGAGAGGCCATGTCTGATGAGGTCCTCTGTGCTGGCAAAGGCTTCTGCGATCCCAAGGCAGGGCAGGGCATTCCCCAGAGAGAAGAGTACACAGAACCAAACCCACTGTTCTAACAGATCCACTTTCTAGATAATCCAGTAATCTATGAATGGGTCTACCCATTTATGAAGACAGAGCCCTCACAACATTCTTGAAGGTTCCCCTTGGTCCCACCTCTCAGTACCTCGCTAGGGGATTCATTTGGTGGAGACATTCAAGCCACAACAGTTAAAATCACCACAGACTTCAAACTAGTGGCTGTCTACTTAAAAATGGAGTCACATCAGCACATCAAATGATCCCTTTCTCCAGTAAGCATCTTTATTCACATATCCACCTCTTCACTTTGCAGAGAAAATCCAGGAAAAGGTGTCGTTCATGTCTGTACCCTGATACAAGCCCATGGGTTCTGCTGCTGTATGAGGCAATCCCCTCCTCCAAGGAGGCTTCCCAGGGATCTAAGGGCCTAAGGATGCCACCAGTCCACTCACATGCAGCAGAGATTGCTCAGAAGATGTTTCTCAATTAGAATTGGGCCAAATTCTTTCATCTGTGATCTCCTTGACATTATATTTGCTGGTCAGAGGCTCATATAAAAAGAACAGATTCAGGCTCAGTAGCTAAGATACTTTTTTTTAAAGTGATGCCCATTTGACAACAAATATTTGTATCTGATGAAAGGTTTTCTGGGGGCCAGTGCTGTGGCATAGTAGGTAAAAGCTGCCTCCTGCAGTGCTGGCATCCATTTGGACACAAGTTCCATTCCCAGCTATTTTACCTCCAATCTAGCTCCCTGAAAATACCCTGGCAAAGGAGCAAAGATGGCCCAAGTCCTTGGGTCCCTGCGTTCACGTGAGAGACCTGGAAGAAGCACCTGACTCCTGACTTCAGACTGGCCCAGCTCCTGCTAGTGCGGCCATTTGGGTACTGAACCAACATATAGAAGATCTCTCTCTGTGTCTCTTCCTCTCTGTCTCTCTCTCTGTAACTCTGCCTTTCAAATAAATAAATAAATATTTTTTTAAAAAAAGAAAAAAGCTCTTCTGTATTTCAAAGTCAGAAAATGGGTGAATTTATTTCTCAGGCAACACATGGCAGCATATGGATGGCAAACTTAAAAAATTCATGACATAGCAATAAGTATCGGATTCATATTTAGAGTAGCAATTTAGCCTTATGACTATAACATCTGTCACATTAAATTTATGCTGTTAATTTGAATTAATGCATGACTTTGTTGTATTAAGCATGCTTTTTTTCTTTCTTTTACTCATATAAATGGATAACAGCTCTAAGGATAAATAGTCTATGCTTATGTTTGTACACATTTAAATAACATTATAATTAAAACAACGTAACTAGCATCAGGAATCTATAGATTTTATTTTTCTTTAAATAGGGTTAGAACATTACTCAAGTTTTGTAAAATACTGTGCTAATGTAATTGCTATGTTAACACTGGCAAGTATGATCATGAGTTTTATAAAATACAATATCAAACTCAAAAGCCCCATGAATCATTGTATTTGTATAAATAGCTAAATACTTCAAACTCTAGTAAAAAACTCAATTGTAGTGACTTCAGGTAAAGACAGAGATTGAACAGGCCATCTAATCTTGCTTCTTCCCACACCCTGCTGAAACTATGCCAAAGGGACTTACATAAAGGCGGAAAACCACAAAGAGAGGGAGACAATGACAGCACTTTTGAGGCAGGAAAGTAGATAGTCAAGTGGAAATTGACTTTGCAGGTCTGAAAAGTCAGCATTGGGGGCAGCTAAGAGTGAATCTGATTTCCATAGAAATGTCGGCCAAAAGCCCAGGATTTGAGGCATTAGTTAGCCAGGAAGTGGAGGGTGATGGGGAAAGGATAAAAAGGATTAATTGAAAGTACACCCATGCATTGCTTAAGAAGGGGACAAATCCTAACAATAGGGTCATTGGGGAGATTTTATTCTTGTAGTAACATCACAGAGTGTACTTACACAAACTAAGATGGCTACAACATCTCCCCGTGATATAATCTAATTCAGCATTGTAAATGAGTTTCCAGTTTTGAAGATATGCTCACACCAAGACACCTCACAGAGATATTTCAGATCACAGGTATTATGTGTTAGTCATTTGTATCCTCTTAAATTCATGTTGAGATCCTAACCCCCAATTTTATAGTGTTTGTAGGTGAGGCTTTTGGGAGGTAACCAGATCTTAAGGATATGGCTCTCATCAGTGAGATTAGTGCCCTTAGAACAATGCCTTCCAAATTCTGAGGGGAAATGATTTCCAGCTAATTTTAAACATGGAGCCAACTTCTCAAATAAATATGAAGGTAAAGATTTTTTAGTCAAAAGCTTTACCCTTTCCCCTCATACATACACCTTTTCTTGGGGGGTTACCGAAGGATATGTACCACCAAAATGATGGTGTGAGTAAGAAAAGGGAACACATGCATTATAGGATAAAATGAACCCACACAGGAGTAATGTAAACAGAATTCTCACAACTGGATGCTGCATCAAGTAAAGGAATAACCCACCTGGATTCATGCAGGCCCAAGTGCTCCAGTAGACACCTAAGAAGATAAAACTGATGTAATACTGAACATAAGTGACTGTATCAAGAAGATACATGTGGTAGGGAGTCCACATTCATGGTAAGTGTGTGCATAGAAAACCAGGCAAGTGAGAAAACAAGACAAATCTTCACTGAGAGGAATCTACAAGTTTTACAAGAAAAAGAAAGTAATCCTAGTCATACTAGTGTTATCCTGGAACATCGAGTTACTCAGAAATAAAATAAATCTGAATAAGGACGATAAACAGTTTAAGACTTCAGAAAGAGCAGAGGAGAAAAGATATTCTTATCTTCATGAGGAGGAGTCAGTAGATAATGTCTAAACCTTAAAAAAATAAGAAAGTAACATTAGAGCATGTTACTTAGAGAAAGTTAAAAACAGATGAAGCGGCTTGAAAAGTTGAAAAAGGATATGAAAAAAAGAGATTGGAGACTGATGTTTGCTTAGCAAATCTTGTAGAGCAAGGTGATTCTTAAAACTGTGTGCATACATATAACTAATGAAAATTAAAATAAAAAATAACACGGTCAAGGGATTCATTAGTTCATGCAGAATAATGCAAAAAGAATTTTTATAGTTAGAGACTGAGATTCAAGCACAAGAGATAGGCGCTGTATTATGACTGTCAAGGGTCTTAAGCACTTTAGCTTTGTGGCCCCTGCCACCACAATATCAATACTAAAATTTATTTTTGATTTTATCATATTATTTAATTGAAGGCAGAGAAACAGAGAGAGAGCTCCTATATGCTGGTTCACTCCTCAAATGCCTCCAATAGCAAGGGTGCTAAAGCCAGAGAGCTAGAACTCAATCCAGGTCTCCTGAACAGGTGCTGGAATCCAACTACATCAGCAATCATCAATCACATTAGTAGGAAGCTGGAATCAGGAGCCAGAGATGAGATCAAACTCAGGAACTCCAACATGGGACGTGGCATACTACCTGGTACTTAACCACCAGGCCAAAGTCTGTCCTTAACATAAAAATTCCCTCAGGCAAAATTTAGTAGAATTGTCTGGATTCCTTAAAAGTATCATGGGCCCTAGGCACTGCACCTACTGAACCTAACAGATAAGTCCTCCCGGATGAGAAGAAGAAAGCAGAAAACTACAGAATCTTGTTTGCTCTGTAGCTAACTAAGCTCCCTTTGCTTTGGAGATCAGAATTTCTAGCTCTGAATGATGGCAAATAAGTGACTTTATAAACAATAAGTTTTATCTGATCCCAACAGTGTTAGTACAAAAAAATTTCACATGGCATTTTATAAATTTCTTTCATAACAATAACATCATGTTGAAAAACAATCCTATATGTATTTTTAGGCTGTGTTTTCAATTTTCCATGTGATTGTTCTCAACTGAATATAATATTAAAAGGCATTTGTGTCTCCAATTCTTTTTCTGTCATTGCAAAGTGACTCTAACATTGCTTTGAGTTAAAATGTTTGCACTTCTCTATGAAGAGTACACACATTGTGGTCAGTTTAATCATTCCTATTTCCATTGATCAAGTTGTTGAGACCAACATTGTTGAAACCATGCCCAAAGATGTATGCGAAACCAAAAAAGTATTTCTTTCAAAATATTTTGAATAAAAAAAATATTTTGAATAAAACCTTGCAGTTCTGCAGCTTTATACATTTTTCAAAGCACTTTGACCTTCTACTCAGATGTCATTTTCTTTGTTTCATGTCAGCATATCAAAAACTGAACTTCTCTTAAGTATTGCTACTCTTTCTTGACTTACTTCATCCATTTGATTGGTACCACAATTCTGGCTATCCTAGCTTGAGCCTACAGTTCCTCCCTTACTTCTCTTCTAATTCTTTGACAAGTTCTCTTGATTCTCCCTTTACAAAAGATATATATGTATGTATGTGTGTGTGTGTATATATATATATATATATATCCTATTTCCAACCCCACCACCTTGCTGTGGTTTTGAATATTTGTCCCTGGCAATTCGTATGTGGGAAAATCAATCCCCAAAGTCTCATGCTGATGGTATATGGAGGTGGGTGGGACCTTTGGGAAGTGACTGGGTCATGAAGGCTCTGCCCACATGAATGAATTAACCCATTCATAGATTAATGGGTTGTCCAGGGAGTGGCTTTGTAATAAAACTGAGTTCTCTTTGCCACCCTTGCTCTGCCTCACCTTGCAATTCCCTTTTCCTATGTTGTGATGAAGCAAGGCCCTCACCAAATGCTGCCTCCCTGTTCTTGGATTTTTCCAGCTTCCAGAATCATAACCATATAATTCTATATAAATTATCCAGTCTCAGGTGTTCCACTGTGGCAACAGAAAATGGACTGACACACCCTTTCTTTTCTCCACACTTGAACTTTTGTAGTAACTTCTGTGTTTGTCAGCTTTTCGTTACTATCATGAAATAGCTAAGGTAGCCAACCAATAAAGAGAAAAGGTTTACTTTGGCTCATTTTTCAGAAGGTCCACAGAGTCCAAGACCAGGAACTCCCTATTGAGATCTGGCCACTGGTGATTGCCTTTGGCCTCTGGTGATGCTGTGCTTGCTGGCAGAATCCTGAGACAGCACAGACATCACACGGCAAGAGACAGGGAATGGGTGCATGAATGTACGCCTGTGTGGTCTCTTACAAAGGCTTCACTATAATCACCTAACCCAGTGTAACCCATTGTTATCAGATCAAGTTTCCACCCACTCTGTGCTTTAAGACACTGGGTTTAACCTTTTGCATGAATTTGGGAGAACGTCCTATATTTAAATCAAATGGAAACAGCCTCCTAACTGGCCCGACACTTTGCCATCACATCAATTCCCTAACACGGTAATTATGTTATCTAAAATGGTCAATGGCTCTCAGTTGCCTACCTGATAAAACTGGTCATTTGGGACTAGTAGCAAACTAAGCTTTTGTTACTCTAGGATTTTTCTGTCTACTTTTTCTTGAACGGGTTAGGACTTCCAGCCCAACACTCTGATTTTTCCTCTGGAGTGTTCTCCCGTTACTTTCCCTCTCCTTTTAATAATTCAAATTCATTGTATTTGATGCTCTCATGAATACTCATCTCATGATGATTGTGTCCTTTGGATTCTTAATAATCATGATCAGTTCCATCCATTCAAAACATGTCTTCTCAGTTTCTTCAAGCTGGTACTGCCTTCCCCTTGAGAAGCCACCTCCTGCTGGAACCCTGTCTTGACTCCCGTTCCCAACAACACCCCTTTTCATCAAGAAGCAGCCAGAGCGATCATCGCCCAGTGCCCCTAGCAGAAGTTAGGGTCCATTCTTGTTGAGGGGGAAATGTGAAGAATCAAATGAGTTAATAGGCAGTTTCGAAATTGAGGGTGGAAAATGTTCCCCCCAAAAGTTATCCTTAGCAAGGTCAGAAGTGCCTGCTTGCAAACTCTTTGGGAGCTTCCAATCCTATGAGAATAGCAATGGGGTGGTGAGTCCCCCTTCTGAGCTCCCGGTTTACTGTAAAACAAATTAGGTATCCCACCCTTGTGATGGCTCTTTTGCTTTATCAGGAGCAAGCCAGGCAGTATAAACGATTGCAAATCAGGTATTTTGATGGGTTTTGACTCCACCTTGTAACTGAATGGCAACCTGATTGTCAAGTTTTTCTCCAAAATTGTGCACTTTGGGTTTTTC